TTTTTTTTCCAAGGTATCCAATCTTAAGCTTGAATCTTTCTCATTCTTAACACAAGCAACTTAGTGGAGTGCAGTTTGAGATAGACAGTTGTCTCATAATCCATCTGGGAAACAGACAGTGATCAAGGAACGCTTAGGATACCAGCCTTGATATCTCATTGGCTGTTTCTTTGGGCCCTAAAGCCACTAATAACCAGTAATAAAGGTGTTTTATTGACACTGGAGGAAGCTGATCTGCAATCTCTAAGGCACATGGTTCGAACCAAGCAGCTGCTCTGCAGAGAAGGATGGACAATCTCCTCCCATGCAATTTACTGTCTCTGAAAACTCACTAAAGGGTCAGCTATGAGCCAGTTCTGACTCAAGGACATGCAACAGGAACAACATATATCTATTTACAAATTACTGTTAGTTATTACTATTGTTATAGGACTCTTTGTGTTACAGCATTTATCATGATTGTCTTTTATTCTTGCTTATCTCTCTGTATCTTCCTTTGCCCTGGCTGTGTTAAACATTAAACTATCTTTCCCATTATTGTATATTGTCTTCTCTTAACCAGGATTAATTCTTGTCTACTATCTAATTAGTACATCTTTCTCTCCACCCCAAACCATCAAAAAATGTTTCTTTGTATGTATGGATGGAAGGATTGCTTCATTTTCTGCTTTCTTGAATTTTTAAAAAATCACTTACAAAATTGGTTATTTGAAGTATTTTTCCTTTTGTTACTGATGTATTTCACTCATCATAAGGTCCTTCAGATTCATCCATGAATTCATGAATCATGAATTCATCATTATTCTTTATCATTGTATAATATTCCATTGTATGTATATAGCACAGTTTGTTTATCTATTTATCAAGGGTTTAACAGGTTGTTTCAGTCTTTTTTGCTGTGGTGAATAATGCTGCAACAAGAATGGTTATGTCTGTTTGTGTCATTGTTAAAATTTCTCTAGTATATATATAGGATTGAGATTACTGAATCATATGTTATTTCTATTTCTAGCTTTTTTTAAAGGAAACACCATACTGCTTCCAAAAGGGCAAAAGTTTTTCATGAAGCTTTCCACGTATAGCTCTCTTCTAGTCCCAGTTCCTATTCTAATAGCTTGAAATCATTTCTGTGCTTTTGCTAACCCTGTCAAGGATTTTACTGCTACTTAGGAGTCAAACTTTCGTCTACGTACTTACCTACATGTCACGACATATGAGTACCACAATAAGTGCTAAGAACATAGTGGTAAACAAAACAGATAAGATGTCTGGCTTAATGGGATGCATGTGTTGTACCAAGAGTAAGAGTAAAACTGAAATAGGCCATCTCTGTGAAAGCCTGGAACCTACCCATAGCTGACTTTCCAGTGGGTTTTTAGAGGCCATCTTTCTCTCATGGAGCAGCTTGTAGCCTTAAATGAAAGCCTAGAACCTAGGTAATCTCCCTGTACTTTCTAGTTTCTTGAAGATACCCAGTATTCTTAGAAGGTATCATCATCTACAGTCTCAGGGTTTTATTTAAATATTTTAGCTTTTAATAAAAAATTAGAGTGGAGAGAGGAGCTCTGGTAGCCTAGTGGCAAAGAAGCTACACTGTAATCCCGATGGTGTTTGGTTCAAATCCACCAGATGACCTACTAGAGGTGGAGGGGCAATCTCCTTCCATGCCAGTCAGATCCATTTTGATGGTATACAACAAGAAAATTAAAAAAAAAAGGAAAGGAAAGAAAAAATTAGAGTGCATACTGAAATACAAATAGAAATGTATCCTAGATATGACTTTTCATAAATGATGAGTTATGCACAAAAATATTTACTGCAAAAGATTTCATATTACCAAAATATTATAATAATATCTTATCAATATACTATGAATTAACTTGTTATTTATGTAATGTAGTACTCTTAACACAGATTCTATTACAGTTTGGGGCTGGACAGTTATTTATTTAATGGTACTACCCTGCTTCTGTGAACCTCTAGTGGCCTAGTAGTGATAAGGAGTTGGGCTGCCCACCCAAAGGGGATATTTGAATTCACAGCAGTTCTGTGAGAGAATGGTGGGCAGTGTCTTCCTGTGTGATCTACTGTCTCTGAAAAACCATTGGAGGGTCAGTTATAAGTCATTTCTTAGTCAACAGCACATAACAACATCATGACTCTGAGCACTTCTGCCTATTCCATAGAGAGTTGTGTTGCTCACCCAAAGGTGGTGCTTCTCTGGTAATTTGAATCCAACAGCAGCTCCAGGGGTCAAAGATGGGAAGTCTCCTCCCATCTGATTTACAGTCTCCTTTAAAAGCCACTGGAGGGTCAATTAGTAGTGAGTGCCAATTTGATAGCAGTGAGAATCCCATTGCAGAGTATTTAAAATTTTTAAGAATTATAGCTTAATGATTACAAGTTATTGCAAGCTTTTCCTACACATTTTAATATGCCTCTGCAACGAAATATACATCTGCAAAAAAATATTCCAGTTAGCAGTCATTGATATTATGAAATTTTATGCAGTTGTTTGGGAGAAAAGAGAGAAAGAGAGCTATTTATAACTTGATATAAAGACACAGGAGGTCGTTTGATATCTTTAGAAGTAAAATGCAAGAGAACAGAATCTTACTTTACATGAGAAAGTAAGAATATAAAAATATGTATCTTTAGATTGTTTATACATGCTGTAAACATTTTTCTACTATTATATAACAAACTAATGAAAGTAATTATTTAGTCTGCTGGTCATAGAGAGATGAGCATGGGGTGCAAGAAATATTTTTACTGTTTATTATATTGTTTTTACTTTTAAAAACTTTGTTATTAAAAATAAGCAAAACATACACATATTTGAGAGTTTCTACATGTACTTTTTAAAGACACTGATGATATTCTCCAAATTGTACAGCTATTCTCACTCTCCTGTGTTATTCCTCTCTCATAATCATTAGCTTTCTGTTCAGTAAGGTTCACGTCCAGTCTTTGAGGTTGTTGTTATCAATTTAATCATGTATGGATAGTTCTAAAAAAGAATATGATGCTTAAAAATCACATTCTTGAATAGTTAAGCTAAACTATTCTCAGAAATTAAGATGACATCATGGGCTATTTTTGGTTTGAGATGTAAAGTTGATCTCACAGCAGTAGTAGATGTAAAGTTGATCTCACAGCAGTAGTTTCAGAGATTTAACCAAGTTTCATGATTCTAGGAAGCCTGAAGTCTGAGAATTTGGAAGTTCTGTATATTTACCCTTTTGATCAGGATTCTTTTTATGGGCTCTTTGATCAAAACACCCTCTGGTTTCAGTTGCATGGCAAAAGAAGCATTTGTTCAATGCGGCCACATCCTCCTCCTATACCTGAGTCGCCTTCACCTGTTGATCTAAATGAATAGAAAACTTGTGGCTACTTACTGGCTTTTAAAAATAATAAACAGAGCTAAACTTCAATCTAAGAACAGATGCACTAAACATGTCCCTGGGCCAGTTAACTGGGATTTTCAGTGAAACCATGACTTTAAATATCAAACCAAGAAACCAAATCTCAGCAGGTGTTTGGTTGTGCATAAGCAATTTTAACAGCTATTTTTTAAAACATGCATATAGTACCTATAAACAATTTAAAAAAATAAAATACAGTTGTATAAATAAGTAAACTATTTGTCTGACAAAATAATTTCTAAGATTCATTTAAAACTGATATAATGTTAAAAATATTTTGATCTTTTTCAAATCCTTTGTTCTTTTTTGTTTTACCTTTACTTTTATTTAGTGGAGTAGGGCGAAACTGGGGATGGGCATCTGCAGGTAGCAGCATTCTGGCTGAATTTGGTACCTTACATATGGAGTTTGTCCATCTCAGCTACTTGACAGGGGACCCTGTGTACTTCAGAAAGGTTCGTTGTTTTGGAATTTTTTTAAAATTACTGTTCTTTGTTTACTATTAAAAAGGCCTTTAAGCTGTACCAAAATGTTGATTTCTAAGATCGACTGATGATTAAAAATGGTTTACTGTGTTTTTGGAAGTACCATAACTCTTACTTTGTTTGGCATCCAAAAAAATGTCTTTTCTATTTAGAATATATTTCAGAATTTTAAACTAACACTGAGTTTTAATATATAATATCATCACTTATACACATTTTAATATTGAAGTTCTTTACAGGCATGTTAAGACACCCTGGTGCCTATCCTCACCAAAAAATTTAAGAATTGAAAGGAAAGCAAGACTCCATAAATATTCACCAATTTTATGATTACTTAAAATAAATCTACTTGTAAATTACTAAAAATAATAGTTTAATGTAGTATTTAATAAGAGTAATATGCATAGTGAAAATCATTGTTGCTATTCTGTACCAAATACAAAAGGCAAAAAAAATAAGTTGTAAAATGCCACATTATGCAATAGATTTCAAATGTGTGAGGTTCTTATAAATAAATCCTAACAAGAGATGAGCCAAAGTAAAACCTTCATTGCATTAAAAAGGATGACTAAAAAAGAAATGTGTCGTATTCAGGTGCACATAGATAACATAAAAATTTTAGTCATCCTCAGATTAGTCTGTACCATCATTTCTAGCCACTCAAACTTTGAATGACTTACTATGAAATGAGACTTGATAAGATACTTCTAGAATTTGTATAAATAAATGGAAAAAAATTAGATACTGCAGAAGAAAAATATGATTGAATTTATACACCCAGTTAACAACAGTGACAGTGAAGTCTTGGTACATAAAGAAAAAGAAACTGATGGGCAGAACCTGTGTATACATGTGGAAACTGCTTGTGATAAAAGTACCATTGTACTTTATAACAGATAACTCCAGAAGCATCAAAAGCTTAGTTGTAGAAGAAAAAAATGTGCACATTTTTAGAAAAATAAAAAGCAGCACCTCTGTGCCCTTGAGGTCCAGAAAGTTTTTTAAAATGGAAAATGTAAAATATTATCGAGTAAAGTTATAAATAACACACATAATATTGTAACACCAAAATAACCATCTTTGGCTTGTACATTTATATTATATACATAGAGACATTTATTTGTTTGAATAGTTTATATAATGAAATATAATAAAGCAACAAGCTCTGGTGGCCTAGTGGTAAGAAGCTGTGCGTAATCACAAAGGTATGTGATTTGAATCCACCAGCTGCTCTGCAGGAGAAGGATAGGTAATCCCCTCCTCTGTGACTTACTGCTTTGAAAAGCCGCTAGGATCAGGTATGGGTCATCTCTAACTCGACAGCACACACCAGAACAGCATACTAAAACAGTGAATATAAATTATTTTCTTCATCAATTTATAAACATATGGTACAGTGTTTATAAAGTAGAAAATAAGTAGAACTGAACAGTATGTTTTTTAGGTTTGCAAAGAGCTTTTAACAAAGTCAGGATAGTGACAAACTTAAAATTCAACACTGTGATTACTTATGGGACAAAGGCAGCGATGTGTGAATAGTATTAAAAGTATTTATAGTATTAGGACGTGAGTTGAATATTTTTTCTGTATATGTGTATGTCACACACACATGCTTTCCTGTGCAAGACATTTTTTTTTTTAAAAAAAGGCAATTTTCAAGATATATAACAATGTGGATCTAAGTCACAGAATTTGTCCTTCCCTAACTAAATAAAAAATAATTAAAGTTGTAAAGACTATAAATTCATCACTAGCAATAAAAGAAGGACAACCTTAGTACCACTGGAAAGAGGAGAGATGTTCTGAGAGAGAAAAAAAAATGGAAATCTATACCAAGCCTTAATAACACGTTTGTAAATTGCTTTCTTAATGTTATTTTGTTAGGTTATGCACATCCGGAAACTGCTTCAGAAAATGGATCGTCCAAATGGTCTTTATCCAAATTATTTGAACCCAAGAACAGGGCGCTGGGGTCAATGTAAGTACTTCTAGCATTGGTGATAATAGTCTTTTCTTAAAGATTATTTGTCTGAAGTCACTTGCTTAATTAAGTAAAAGTGGACTAGATAATAAAATTCCTTAGTTTGTTTCTTATCTTGAATCTATTGATGTTGGCTCTTTAGATGATTTCTAATCTTTTAAAGCTTTACTTTTCCTATATATAATATAAAAACATTGATAACTTATTTATATGTCTCTTTTGTATTTCTAGACAGTTCATGGTCTCATCTTGGACTATCTTCTTGTGTAAAGACAGGCAGAATGTATAAGGGCTAGGAGTGTACACAATGAAGCCTATTTACTGGATCAATAAAACTTTTGGCCAGTTGTATAAGAACTTCAAGTTCCTCATCTATAAAATTGGATAATAAACTATTCCTATGTTGCATTTATATTAGAAGTAAATTAGATTACACACACACAAATACATAGAATGTAAATATAGTAACAGCTAAGTATTACCTCTTTTTATTTTCCTACAATTTAATATATTTACTTATTTCTGTGTTTGAGAAATATCTACATTTATTTATTCACAGTACTATCAAATTTTAGGCTTCCAGATGGGGCAGGGCTCTGAAGCAGCCTGGTTCTACAGAGGTTTGAGCTTGTTTTCGGGGAGACATAAAAACAACCACATAGAGAGGGCTCTTTTGGCCTAGTGGATAGAAAGTTATGCTACCAAGCCAAAAGTGGGTCATTTTAATCTGTAGCCCTCAGGCCTGGTTTAAATTGGTTTTGGTCAAACATTCTTCTAAATGGTATAGCACTGATCTGTCCATTTGCTGTACCCAGGTAACTCGTGCTGTGATGCTAAACACTGTGACACTGATGTGTCAAATACGATAATGGTTATCCATTATCCAGAGATGGAGTTCCCGATTAAAACAAGCTTGGAAGCAAGAGTGACATCCAGTTCCGAAACAGCTTGCCTCCAAAATAGCTTCCCTCTGGAAATTCTATGAACTTGGAGAAATGATGAAAGTTATACAAGTGTTCAGGTCTTTCATTCACAGGGTCGCTATGAATT